TATATATATATATTTCTTTATTGACAGTGTTTATGCAGCCACAAGGTGCAATTAATCGAGGAGTAAGATGGAGTGCAGTTCGAGGATTTATCGACACTATCATAGGAAGGAGGAATTTTCAATTGATAACTTCAGCATTTGCAACTAAAGTATGCTAGAAATAGTTTTGAATGTCATTATTTAATACAAGTTATTTTAACATAAAAGTTTTCACAAAATACAGAGGAAAAATTTATCAATGTGATACCCCAAGGATTTGATTTTTATTACAACTATTAAATATACCATATTTTTTCATCGTTATTTCAATAACAATGATATTAGACAGGTTTCGACCGAAGTTTTCATCTGTAAAACGTGAACGTCGAACGCGAGCGCCGCTAACTTGTAAGCGGCGTGAAGTTTTCATCTGTAAAACGTTCACGTTTTACAGATGAAAACTTCGGCCGCAACCTCGCTATTGTTTTTCCTTGTAAACCGAGCTGTCAACAGTTTGACTGTTATAATAGCAATCCATTTCAAAATAGCTTTCCTCATTTTGATAAAGGAAGCTATTATTGATAAAATGATAATATAATATTTCAAATTTTCAAAGTTTACTTACAGGAAACTTAGATTATTTTTTTGATAAATTTATATATTCTTCGACTAAGAATCAACTGAAGAACTAGGAATTAAGAAAATGTCCATTTATAAATTGAAGATTGTTATTGAATAATTAGTTTACCACATGATTTATTTGCAGATAAAACTTTTATATTTTTATTTGCGAAAAGGATTAAATTAGGGAAGGAGGTGATTTAATGGATTTATGATAGACAATACTTTCAGCAGGTTTCTGGAGAGCAACTGATGAGAAATTTGGTGTAGGTCGGGTTTAGAAGTGCATAGAGAACAGACATGCAGATGTTCCTTTATACATATAATACTCATATATAATTATATATCCTTCAGAAAGATATTGAATCTTGAAAGGCTCTTAGCTCAATTATAATTTATTATATCTATAAAAATCGTTGTTCACATTTTCATTAATATATTTAAAAGGACCAAGTTTGGAATAGCTCTATTTCATTTTAAACAAAAGTTACAAAACACTTGAGAAATCATCATACAATCGCACTTACTACTGTTGATGGGTTGACTAGAATATGTCAGGCTTTTCATCATAAAATTCAGCTTAATATCTATTTATAACGTTTACATTACATTATAGTATAAATTCTTTAATCACAATGGGTGCCTTTGTAAGAAATTGCTGAGCAAGCCAATGACATAGTTTGTTTTTTATATGAAACGAACTGTGTCATTGGCTTGTTTACTTAGCTGTTTGTGGCCTAGACGCACTCAATACGTAAGAAAAAATTCGAGCAATAAATTGTATAAGTTTCCTGGCGCAAAATATTTATGTTTAAGAAACTTAAGACATAATAGTGCAGTTAAAATTATGTGTGGCTCAATCTATTACAAGATTTTATTGAAAATAACTTTTACATTTTTAATTATTATGCAAAGGCTTTACTTGAGGGTATAGATAAATTCTTTATTATGTCATTGTCTACGTTGAACACTATATATTAATAGGACTTATTGTACTGGTATTGTTTCCGTTCTAGCAAATAGAGATCTTATTTAGAAAATCCTCTATTTGCTAAAACGAGAACAACACCAGTACAATAAGTCCTGTTAATATACTGAGTCCAATGTAGACAATGACATATTAAAGAATTTAATAAGAACATAGAGGAAAAAGAATTAGTAGAGATGAGTTTTTTTACAAAATGTACATGCAAATAACGAGTAAGATCTTATTTATTCCGACACATGACCTTTCTATCTCTCCACCTCCTCGACCTTTAACCATAGAAATTTAATAGCAACAGTGTCCCTTATATATAAGTTACCTCGCCAAATTTCGTTTCTGAATATTTATACCATTCTCAGATAGTAAATGAAATGGATGCCAACACATGTAATTTTCCCCTTTTTGACTGCTTTGGATTTAGGAATTACAAAAATGGAAATTTGCAGAAAGCACAGAGTGTAAAATTTGAAAAAATTATAAAGTTTCCGCGATTTATACATAACAGTCGGGAAAATAATGAAAATAAACTTCAAATGCTTATCAATTGGATAATCATCTTTTTCCATTCAAGAGGACTAAATTTTCATTTAGAACATTTTAAATTGTTAGTTAATATTTTAGTAACTTTATTATTTAGTATTTAGTAAGTGACTTTATATTTTAAGATAATTAAAATACTTATTTATAACTATTTTAGATATTAATTAACGAAGATAATAGGGCTTATGGTGTTTCATTCGATCACGATGGAAAAAAACTCACGGCAGTTGCAAGAAAGGAAGTGATAATATGTGCAGGAACTTTGAATTCTCCTAAATTGCTTATGCTCTCGGGAATTGGACCGAAAAATCTTCTGCATAAGCTACATGTCAGTAATATTATTTATTGCATATTTAAATGTAAGGAAACTCATTTTAATGCGATATAAAAGTGAAGTGTTCATGATTTAGATGTTAATCTTTCCTAATTAGAATAATTTATGTATATTAATGCTGACGAATGAATCTCAAATACCATATAGTAGAGATAACAGAGACTCAGGACATCAAAATGGCTCTTGTATCATCAGAACGAAACTTTATTGCATTTCGGTACAAAAGACCTTCATCAGCCATACATGAATAATGTATCCTTACCAAAAAGATTAACAAGTTCCATTCAAAAACATGACATCATTCAAAAATTGTAATGAAAAATTCTAAATCTTTTGTGTTACTTGAACTACTTTCTGCACAAATCTGCATAATTGAATATACTTTTTTTCAATTGTGCAGATATATTCATATATGGCTGATTACAATCTTTTGTACTGAAATACATACCAGTAATAAAATTGCTTTCTGAAGATAGAAGTGTCATTTTGAAGTCATCAGTAGAAGTGTGATAAGTCTCTGTCATCTCTACTACACATAACTTGAGATTCATTCATCTATATTAATTGAGAGAAGAAGCTCTTATATACTATGTATTTTACTAAATGTATTATTATTATCATGTTTATTTAAAACAAGTTGATTTACTTATGTATATTTAATTCAACTCTCCCTTACACAAGGAGCATGACAAGTAGTGCATTCAGAGATTTTTGGGATTTCATTCCCCATTTGGGAAGAATTGGACTATTTTAATTAAACAGAATATTGTAGGTATATAATCTATGCACAAGGTAAATCAGAAGTCTCGTGTAGTTTTTTCATTCCAGAAGTATTAAAGATATATTAATTTTGTTATGCATGATAGGAAGTCATGCATGATGAATCAGATAGAACCTTCAGATTATTACTTGCTACTTCATCATCTGATTAGAACAGTTTCTCGTATATGTGTTTCTTCAGCGATGCGAATAAATAATAGTCACTAGATCGAAGTTTCGGCTGTATGACGGGTGGCCCACAATCTTACAAAGATACGTTCAGAATTTTTATGTACGTAGCAAATCTATGTATCCACAGTCTACAAGCATTGTATTTATTTGTTTGAATCTCTGAAGAACATGTCTCTAGAAAGAGATTTTCATCAGATGATTAAATACTGTAATAAATGTATGAACAAATGCTTTAATGTTTATTCACCATATATTCAAGCAGATGGGATCAGAGTTTCCAAGCGTTTCTCGTTTGTAACTTACTTTTCGAATAAACTAAGTATTATAATTATTTTTGAATATATAAATATACAGGAAATAATTAATCTATCGTAATTAAAATCATAAATGTAACACAAATAACGAATTTTAAAATGTTATTCTTTAGATACCAGTGAAAATGGATCTTCCCGTTGGAAAGAATCTTCAAGATCATGCTTCAACTACAGCATTACAATTTCTTGTTGACTCTTATACGTTTTCGGAACATCGAACTACTAAAGAAGATTACCAAGAACTTCTAATTAACGGAACCGGTAATTAATTTTCAATATTTTTTTTAAATAGTCGTTCTTTTTAGGAAGATAAAAATGGTTTTTTATAGTATAGGAGGACTTTAATAAATTATAAATTTCACGAGACACACAAAATATTTGAAATATAAATATTTTGTGTGCTACAATTAATCCTATCAATTCATAATGATTTATAGAAGACATTCCTGAAGCCACTGTAAATCGAACCTAAATTCGTATCCGATTTAGCAACATAATATAAGATTCTAGATACATCATAAATGTTCTTGAAAATATGATTTCGATTTAAGTTAATTAAATTACACAGAGAATAATTATTATAAAAATTTTATTTAAAATGTAATTTTGAATTAAAGATATTTCACATTTCTGAAAATAACTAATTCTTTTTAAGGCCCTCTAACGACCCTTGGAGGAGTCGAATCGAGTGGTTTTATCAGCACAGAATATAACAATAATAAAAATTGGCCGGATGTAATTATATTTTGGATAACTTCAAGGATTCAAAATGCATTTTCAAACGCTAATGATGATGTATTGTTATTTCTATCGCTTTATTGCTGAAAATAATTCAAATGCAATTTTTCTTTTATTACTAATTACAATTATATTTAAAGATACAGAAAATATACGAGAAATTTCGCAATCAGGATATCATTTCATGTGTACCTTACGTTGCTCGGCCTAAAAGTCGAGGAGTTTTGACATTGAAATCCAATGATCCATATGAAAAACCTCTAATCGATTTCAATATCTTTTCTGATCCCTATGACTTGAAAGCTCTTGTGGAAGGTAATCCATTTAGAAAATTAAACTGATTATACTTAATTTAGTTAACTTATTTTTGTAAAAGCCTTATTAATGACTGGTAATTAATGTATATTATTCTATGACAATATTTTTTTTTTATAAATTGTTCATTAAATATACTTTATATTACTTTTCAATATATATTTTTATAGGTTTGAACCATTGCTTAAAAATGACGGCTACAGTATCTATGAAGAAGTTTGGTATCAAACCCCTTCCATATATTATGCCTGGATGCGAACATTATAGGAGATTCAGCGATGATTATCTGTCTTGTATGGCTTCTGTTTTACCTCTTTCGGGACTCCATTTTGTTGGAACGTGCAAAATGGGTAGCTCCGATGATCCTACTTCAGTAGTTGATCCAACTCTCAAGTTAGTGATCTTTTTCTTTTACCATTATAACTATGCTGTATTCAATAGTTAGATACCTAATTGTAAAATTGTAAGAAATTATCATTTAATAAATTTACTTAAAATACTTTAATAGATATTTTAAAATAATTACTTGGACTTCATTGTAAATATTATGTTTTTTCATATACTGAAAAATTCCTCATAGGCCTATTTCATACCTAATAAGTGAACAAAATATTAATTGAATCTATTGCCTGATTTATTGATAAAACATTTTAATATAAGTTTTATTTTAGAAATGTAGTTCAATATTTAGATCTCTAAGTACAATCTTCGCAAAGAATTTTTATTATCTTATATTTGTTCATTTTTTCTAATTGGCACTTCTCAAATAATAGAAATTAGTTTAATCAATTAGGTATACATTGGTGCATGAGATATTTGTAAAACCGCTGCTGTACATGGTTTTGTAAACATTTTCTTCTTATGTACATTCGTTTTACTATGGAGGTGCCACAAGCGCATCCCTATACTATAACGATGGTGCCACAAGAGCATAGGGTCCCATAGGATCATCAGTTAAAGGGCGCCCTAGGCTCTAAAGGGAGCCTATCTCCCTTTAGAGCCAATGTATACCTATCTCATGCACCAATGTATACTGATGATCCTGTGGCACATATAAATTTTTGCTTCTTAGGTGACTGCCTATAGCTCGGGTTGGCCCTAGGAACAAGGCGCTTTCGTTTTATCAGAATAATTTAACTTCTTACGTCATTTTGATGTCGTTCTTACGCTTTTTATAACGAGGGAATATAAAATGATGTCAAATCTACATAATTAAAGTCTTATATATACATAGTGCTTAACATCCGCCATCAACAGTGCTTAACAGGGATCAGAAACGCGTGTACTGCACCTACTAATTAAATAGCTTTCTTAAAACTAAAAAAACAACATGGCATCATTTGGATTTCATAACAAAAAAACATTGGAACACAATTTTGAAGGAAGTGCAAGCCCGAATTTTGAGATTCAAGCAGGTATCGATCTCTAAAAAAATTAAGAAACATTGTTATAGTATATTTGCTGTATATTAAAAGCGATACTTTTAACATGCTTTAAGGTGACAAATTTATTTAAAACTTCAAAAATGCAAATCAATAGTACTTAAAATAATTAAATTTATGTTTTAGTCAATATTCCTATACACCCATAGATATATATATATATATATATATACAGGTTCTACTTTAAGTATATATACATATAAGAAATTATTGTGGAATAAAATCTTATACATAGTTCTATTTATAATAGTCGAATTTTACCGATTAAAATATATATATATATCTATATATTGTGTTGGCAGGGTTAAAGGAATCCAGGGACTAAGAGTTGTGGACGCATCGATCATTCCTTCGTTGATTGGGGCCACCACGATGGCTCCTACTATGATGATAGCCGAGAAAGCAGCATACATGATACTTCACAATTTATAAAATTAGTGCATATATACATATGCAATATACATATATACTGTATACATTTTTATAATATTAATTAATGAAATAAAGTTAAAACAATTTTCTTGCTAAGTAATAATGAATATTTTAGTCATTTGTATAAATAGTTAAAAATTACTAAATTATTCTTACTTCTAAAAGATTGGAAAAAACCTATTTAACTCTTGGGTTCGAGCATCGCCAGCAAGCTGTTACGTGAAGCTTTCCAGGATTTCTTCACGTTTCTAATACCTAAATTAGTTTACTTAATCACAATTTTTCAAGAAAATCTCAAAAATAAATAAATAAATAACAGAGAGTAGGACTAATTATAAATATAGCTGATAATTCTATTATAGAGGGAAGACCTATCGGATTTTTCTGTTATCCGTGGCCATCTTTAAGCGAATTTTTTTCAAAAGTTTTGTGTTTTTCTTTTCTTTTTTTTTTGAGATATTCCGGAAGAATTATGATTACTTACATTTTTGAAGTTTATTTATAAATTATTATTTTTGATTTATATGAAATGAAAAACGATATTAGATACGGCGTGGACATAATTTTTATATTTTTAATGATTATAAAAAGGAAAAAATCGGTTAGTTTTGAAGATAACAATGAGTTTTTAAAAACATTATAAATGCCAATAACGAGTAAAAAATCATTACCTCATCCTGAGATACTACATTTATATTATTTTCATGCTTCCAAATATCAAAATGTTATTTAAATTTGAGGAAATTCAAATGTAATTTATCTTAGAATACTTCGTTTTTTGTTATAGATTAAGATAAGAACTATTAAAATCAAAACCAATTTTTTATTCATTTCTTAAGGGAATTATTAAAAAGATCTTATAATATTAATTAAATTACAGGATAAATGAATTTTAAATATAGAAAATTAATTTTTGAATGTTTATAACACTACCAGGTATATATTATAAGATGTTTTAGACGTTATTTGTAAATTTTGTAATAAAAAATATCGGATTTTTTTTCCTGCATGTATGGTTGTTAGTATATGTGCACGATTTTGTTCACACTGTTTGAAGTTTAATAACTCCTGTACTTAGGGATGAAAATTGTTGTTTCCTTTGCGTGGAAGTTTAATTATTAGAGGCTTTGAGCTGTTAAATTTTGGTTATTATAGGTCAAGGGGATGAGGAGATAAAGAAGCAGTGTGTATCTCCAGTAGGGTCAAACTTAATGACAATTTTACCCATTATTAACATTTACAATTTTTTATAAAACCCATCCCTACCTTGAAAATCAAGCGTTTTGCCATTTTATAATAGTTAAACTAAAATATCATAATGGCGCCAAACACGCAGTTATGCGGAAAGTTAAGCAACTCGTCGCTGGATTTTTTTTTATTCCTTTCATTCTATTGGCTAGATATGAGCAAATCGCAGTTGCTAATCTTAATATGTTTCTATTTTCTGCCTCGTGCCGTAATTCAGTCATAATTAAGCTGATATGATTGAAGAACATAGGCAAATAGCTAATCTTCATATTTTCTTTTTATCAAAAAATTGCATGAAGACTCTCTATTAAAAACTATCCTATTAAATTTTTGCAGAAAGAAAATTAAACGTTCATCCACCGTATAAACTAATCAGAAACTTTCTATAAAGCCTTGGAATCCCGTACCACTAAATAGAAAACGTGTCAAGTGACGGTGGCCGGGATGGCGGCTTCTAGCGACCTACATACTCGTATCTGCCATTTGAACTTACCTTTTTTTTCATTTGATCACTGGTGGATTTCTCCGACTAGCTAATGTATGAAATAAATTAATGAATAGATTTTTGAAAGGTTAATTTTTAAAAAATCTATTATAGGCGAATTCTATGTAAAAAAATTTAACCTTTGCGGCAAAATTTTAAAAAAGTGAAAAGAGTGTTTTTTGTAATAGAAAAGAAAACAGATGGATTGTAGGTGCGAAATACCACAATTTAAAAAATCCTTACTAAACGCTTAGTGAAAGGATCAACCATTCTGAAAAGGATTTTTCGGTAGCTTATTTATCCATTGAATTATGCGTTTTCGAGTTTCTGGACAACATCCAGGGGTTTATATTGATGCAATGATTTGCGTAATCGTAATGCTACACATGTCCATGCCTAATACTACAATAAACATGTGTCGTACGAGGTATTACACATGGATAGTTCGTGTGGATAGTTTATTTTGGTCACTGATAAACTCATGCAATAAATTTTGACTTTTAGCCTAATCTCCATAACTCGAAGTCCGAATTTTTTCCCCACCGATTTGAGTAAATCAAGTTCAACTGTATGTAAAAATAATTACTACAGTAAATAAATTCTATTAAGTCCACTAATCAATCCTGCACTCCTAAAATTCTTAGTTGATTTTCTATAAGATGCCATTCTTTAGGTGGATGGATTTGCATTTGTTTAAATTGTTTACTAAATTAACTCATTTGTTAGTAACTGACAATTTCCTTAGATTTATCTGCACTTTAAATTAAGTTTTACATTTTGTAAAACTTAATTTAATAAATTAATCTTATTAGAATAACCTAAATAATTTTTCTCCCTGGATTTTTTCTTTGGTTTCGAATTTTCCGGCTTAATTATTAAAGTTAAATGTCTGATATTGCATGAACTGACTTATAAAGATGTCAATGTATGAGAAATTAATTATTTGTTTACATAATACAGTTTATTTGATGTTTTGTTGTTTTTATTAATATAATAATATATCACAATATACGTGTCATTAATAAAATGTATAAAATGTGTGAGGATAATATGGAAAATACTCGAGACTCGTGCGTAATTCGTGTCATTATCCTACATTTTTATATCAGGGAACTTTTAGGAAAGGAGAAAAAGTGCTGTATTCATCAATTTTTATCTACATTAGTATCTACAGTTTTCGAAAGAAAGCGGAAATTCGAGAACCGAATAAAACTGACTGCAACACGTGTCAGAAAGGTTCAACGACTTGTCTATGCTTAGATTTCTCTACGCATAAACCGGAAAACGATTATGTTTGCAAACTGATCATCAATAAATAATACCAGGGTCATTCGGAGCGCAAAGCTAGGGGTTACATATGCTCATTTATACACATTATGTTATGATGAGTCGTGTAGCATTCAACAAGGCGAAAGACATCTCCTTCCTACTGACACCTTGACGGAAACATCTGCTAAAACGTTATATCTTCAGGCAAATTCTTTTTGTGACTATGGACAAAATGTTTATAAGCTACGTTAACCCTATTTGGATTTGTCTTTATTACGCTAAACAAAAACCATACATAACGATGTTAAATGGAAACAGTCGGAGAAGGTCTGGATGCTTATGGCAAAAGTCTATGTTGTGGAAGATAGTAAAAGCTTTTGGAAAGAGACTAGAGGGCTATATTAATTCCACCTTTCCCACATTTTTGCACCTTTTAATATTTTTTTGCTTTCAATTTATTCTCAAGCTCCGGCAGGGAAAGCTCCGTACACAAACCACGTACAACACATAAGCATGCTAGGTAAACTACACAAATATTTTGAAATAATAGATTCTCGAAACATTGACAATTTGTGTAATACCTCTGTTGAATAGAATAAAAATTCCTTTGACAAGATATCTGTTAATGTACTTTTGGCAGTGTGATGACAATCTTTGCTGTTCATAAATTAAAAACATGCTTCACATGTTCCATCCATTAAATCTTGCCAAAAAATCGCCCGAAAAATATATAATACATTTCTTGTCTTCAGTAGAAGTAATCAAGTCATCAAGATGCCCTTGTTCAATTTATTCTGGAGTGTCAAAAAATAGTGGCTTCTCCAGCTCCTGGCACATGACTTTGAAACTTTCAATTTCAAAGTTTGTCATAAATGTTGTAGAACTCAACTGAAGCTCACTTCGGTGACTTAACCAACGAATATACAGATATTGGACTGTACAGAACTGTACAGAAATAAAAGTTACAAAGGAGTTGTGGGATGCGCGTTTCCTCCACTGATTTGTCGAATTATATTGAAAAATCGCTGCAAACTAACATATAATCATGCATGCATAATCATAAGCATAATCATGCAAACATATAACCAAACAAAATATTTAATGCCATTAGTTAATTTCATTAATAATTGGTCTACCATTAAAGACTTATAGGGCTACAATTAAGTAGACAGCATACTGTATAATATTTTTCTACGTTGTCGAAGAATATTCATGTCAAATTTGGTGAAGATACATTAAACGTTATAGAACCCTTTGAGTAACAAACAAATCTATATACATACATACACATTCTGATTTTTTATATAATATAGACAATTATTCAAATATAACATTTTTTAGATTAAAACCTCAAAATGTCGTACAGATTCGGCAATAGTTATATTAATTTTAGAGGGGTTGAGTCTGTAAGACTAAGTTTGCGTAAACGGCTGCGGTTAAAAATGCGGTTTCGGTAGCAAATTAAAGATCTTACCATATAGATGATGCGTTTTGATAAAGATGCAGTGGTTCAGAAGTGGCGGAATGGAAAAAGTACAAAGTTAATTCTACAGGAAGGCAAGCGCACTTGCGCGCTATCTAGTCATTTAGTTGTTTTAACCGTTAGAACAATCCGTCGTTCACACCTACTCTGAATTCCTGCTTAAATGTAACTTTTAGAGCCAATCTCTGTTTATATTTTACTGTTATTCCATGATAAGACCAAAACGTAAAAAATTCCAAAAAGAATAGTGAAATTAAACATCCGACTGTTGGTATGTCTAAGAGTTTTTTATTGGCAAAGCCCAGAACAAGATGATTGTCACGAGGGGGTTCGCCACTACCGTCACTGTCGGGATAAAAAAATCGTCTGGCACACGCTTTTCCCGCCTTTTTTATGAACGACCGTTATCGCCATAGAAACGGCGATCAGACCATTTTGAAGACTCGACCGCTCATTGGTTAAAAGACATCAGACCATCGGCGGACGTCTTATAGAGCTGGTAAAAGCTGATTGGTGGACTCCAATGCTGTTTCAATCCTATAAAAGTATTGAAGTTCTGGCGGGAAGATCAGTTTGCTTCGGACATTGGAAATGAACACACGCTGACCTTAGCTCGCCTAAGCTGTTTTAGAAGATTGCCTCATCTTGTTGTATTGTTGTGGACTTTGAATTTGTACGTCGCAAGGTGCTTTTCCGACGGACCTGTTGCAGTGGATGATACCTTGAACTTTGTTAATATCTAATGTTTGTAATTCTTATATGTGAACTTTAATTGTAACTGTACATACGTTTATTTTCAATATACATTAAGTTTTAAATTTAACTGACTCTGAATTATATTTGATCTTGACTGTCACCATTAATCCGAAGCCTCACTAGTCGAAATTGTCCGGCCTTAAAAATGCTAAATTGCCACCATATGAAATTACCGAATGTAAAATTGAAAGAAGCCTCACGATACAGAAAAACAGGTAGACGCTGTACTGATGATTTACAGAATTGTACAGAATGTCAAATTTTTAAATAAATAATTAAATAACTCATTAAATAAAATTAAAATTAAATTAAATAAACTCATTGATTGCATTTTAATTAAATACAACTGTCTATTTCTACAGGTTCTGCTAATTCCGGTTAAAATTGATATGTAAAATTCGTAAAATAGCGTCATTATGTGTTACTGTATCGGAAACAAAAGAAAATAAGCACAATACGTTAGAGTTTCACTCTAACCAATGTGCAAAGACAATGTCGCCGCATTTTTGCTCTGGTAGTTAGTCTATTCTCCTTCCTTCTGCGGTTTTTGGAATTCCCAAATGGATAAAACCATTGAATATTAGTTGTGGGTTGGCATCTCGCCAACCAACCAGCCACGTGGAACTTTTCAGATTTCTTCGTATGTCTAACATGTAAACAGGGGCCAGTTTCTAATAGAAAATCCTCCCGGATGGCATTTTCCTTGACAGATCGGTCTTGTGTCCTCAATCCAGCTTGTGAAATGTCTCTCTTGATCATCCAACAATAGTTACAGAGCTGATTGCAGAGATAAGATCTTCCCTCGATTCGGTTAGAGCAGTGGTTCTTAACCTTCCTAATGCCGCGACCATTTAATACAGTTCCTCATGTTATGGTGATCCCCAACCATAAAATTATTTTCGTTGCTACTTCATAACTGTAATTTTGCTACTGTTATAAATCGTAATGTAAATATCTGATATGCAGGGTGTATTTTCATTGTTACAAATTAAAGCATAGTGAACATAATTAAAGCATAGTTATTAATCACAAGAACAATATGTAATTATATATTGTGAAATATTTATTTCTTATTACAAATAAATGAAATTTTATCTTGAAGCATGGTGTAGCATGGGTAAAAGTCGTAATATAATAACATTAAACTACATTACATTTTGCATAAAAAGCAACGTCAGTACAAAGGTTGAGATTGCTTCTTTCTCACCAGATCAGAAATTCTCAAAGTAGTCTTTGCAAGAGCACAACGGAGATCAACTTCCACAACAAGTCTACTTCTATATTTAGACTTGATAACCAACAAGCTGGAAAATCCTGTTTCACAAAGATATGTTGTTGGAAATGGAAGAAAAAGGCGCAACACATTCTCAGACAAAACAGGATATGACACTTGATCCAGAATTTTGTAACTGGCAATGTAGAGAAATCAATTCTCGCTGCGTTGCTGTTAATAAGTTCAATGAACTCCTCCTGTGCTGTCTCAGGAACATCTTCAACTTTGACTGTGAATGGGCTTCTGGCAAGTGCAAATGTGGTGTCAGGTAAATTTGGAAAGTACGATAAAATTTCGTCTGCAAGCATGTTCAAGTGTTCTTTCACAGAAATTATCATCGTAATCCTTTTGTCTGGTTCAATGTCATGTTCCTCAAAGAAAGCAGATAAGGTAGATAACATGTAAATTTTATTTTCATCCAATTTTTTTTTGCCAAAGCTGAAGTTTCATTTGGAATAATCGGATCTTTTCAGACAAATCGAGGCATGTTGCATTTATGCAGTGATAAATTTAACGGCAGAGATGTCAACCAAGTAAGTATTTTCTGTAGTTCACTTTTATCGCTGAAAAGTGCTTCGAACTGCGGTCTTATTTTCTGATTAAAAAACGTTTTGAGTTCATCATGAAGCTCAAAAACACGTTTTAAAACTTTTCCTCTCGACAACCATCTCACTTCAGCGTGAAATAGCAGAGCATTGTTCCGCGCATTCAACTCGTTGCACAGTTGCGAAAACAGTTGACTGTTGAAAGTGCTCGCCTTTACAAAATTGACAGAACTTATGACGCTTTTCATAACTTCTTGTATCTCTTGTGGCAGCGTCTTCATTGCTAATATTTGCCGATGAATCATACAGTGAGTCGATGACTTTTTGTGACTCATTTAGTACCAAACGTTGAAATCCAGATCGACATCCTAGCATAGCTGGGGCCATTTATGCAAACACCACAAACTTTTTCCCAAGAGATCTTATGCTCTTTCAGAAATGAACCAACTGTGTCAAATATATCACGTGCAGTAGTTGTCGTTTCAACAGGTTTGCAAAAAAAGAAACCCATCTTTAAAGCCATCATTAATATACCTCACGAACAGTTTGCAACGTCTGTAGATTTATCAAACTGGACACTAAATATTGGAAGAGGAGCAGATTTAATTTCCTTGATTACCTGATCAAGAATATCAGCAGATATGTCATCTATTCTTCTGCGGACAGTGTCGTTAGAGAAGGAAATTGCACTCAATTTCGTAACAAATTCGTCTTCGATCATAAATGGAACAATGTCTTTGGCCACTAGCAACAGTAAATCCTCAGTAATGGTTTGAGGTTTCATAGCTCTGGCGATTCTAAGTGCCACCAAATATGAATCTTCAACGGCTGCTACGTTTTGTTTGTGGTACTTGCCACCAGTGTCTAGTCTGGCTTTCTTGAGTTCATCAGCTTTGCTTCTAAAATAGTTGGTAATAGTTGGTCTTTGCCGGCAAAGCTCGGACTTTTGCTATCAAAATGGCGTTTTAGTTTGTTCGACTTTATAGATTCGGCTGATAGAACTTCATAACAGAAACATAACACATTGCAGTTTCTCAATTCCTGCTGTAATTATTGAGATAAAACCATACTGTAAAAAATCCTCACTATATTTTCTTTTCTTAACGTTCTTCTCTACATGATTAATTGTCATGGGATGGTTTACTAATAAAAATAATATATAACAATAGCTTTAATAATACAAAAGATGATAGATGGATTAGTTCAGTCAATACAGTTCATTAGGTTTCCTATGATTAACCATTTTTTGTGTTGTTTTTTACATACCTGTTACTATCACAAGGGGGCAGTATTCACATCAACCACAGCTGAATATAAAAGGACCGATCAGCATCCAGATTAAGTTCCCATGGTACAGGTATTATTTTTTTTTGCAGTAGTTGATGATTTTGCAGTATATGATTTTACATTTACGCAGTAATTATATAATTCATGAAGTGTCGTTTTACCTCCAATACTGCTATTTATTGCACATTAATTGAAGTTTCCTATATAATTATATTGCAGGATAAATAGCCTATATTTATATTTATATTTATATAATTATATCGGATAAAAACTTAGAAAAAAATATCGAGGTAGATCATCGACACTTTTGACTGATAGAAGTCGATTATAACGAACTATATTATTAAAAACAGGCTCGGCCTGCTTAAAGTGCAATATGATCGACGTTTATCAGTCAGATGTACCCATAATCCACCTTTATATTTTTATTCTTTATAAGTTTATTACATCATTCTTGTAAAATTATATAAATGTATGTATTTTTCAAAGTGATATCAATAAAGATTTAAATTGCTCAGTTAAATAAGCCGAAAAGAATTTTAAATGCTTTTTAATTATGAAGTTTATTTTCTCCTTTTTCCTAGTTGTGAAACGGGTCGTTGTTATTTATTTATTTTTTCTTTATCTATGTGTAGATTATTATTATTATCTATCTAACTACATTATATATNGGGAAAAGTAGAACTTCAAATATATATTTAAAATTACTTCGAATCATTATTGCATCGTTAATAGGAATTACCAGCAAACTACTTCAATGATCTCACGCATTTCGTTTCATTAATCTTAACTTAAAATCGTCATGATTTATGTACTTTTTTTATTGTTTACATTTATTCCATTGTTAGAAGCAATTCATATTGAAGAGTATGATTTTATCGTTGGTAAGTGGTATTTTTGCATATGATTATTAAGCAATCTTAAATGCACATTTAGACATTACTATTTAAAATCGTAATATATAAAATTATATAAAAATTATTTAAAATAAATCAATTATATTTATTTTAAAGTCGGTTCTGGTGCGGGAGGATCAGTAATTGCTAACAGATTATCCAAAAATGCTTCCATCACAGTACTTTTGTTAGAAGCTGGAGAAAGACCAACGTTAGGTAGTGAAATTTTAGGGTTATCCCTGGGCGAGATTCCACCAAGATTTTCCTGGAATTATACATCTGTACCCAGCAAAACATACGGACAAACGATAAAGAATAGAGTAAATTATTTTATAGTTTAATTATATGTGATATTTTTATATTTTAATCATAGTTTTTTTTTATATCATGTAGCAAATTTTAACAATGGCAGGAAAAGTTTTAGGAGGATCAACTAGTGTAAATGCTGGTGTTTATACAAGAGGTAATAAACACGATTACGATAATTGGGCTAGAAATGGTGCTGTTGGTTGGGATTGGAAAAATGTTTTTCCTTATTTTGTAAAAATGGAAGACAATAGAGACATAGAATTTGTTAAAAATGGTAAGATTTACAAAATATTATTTGTGTTTGATGGTTTAATATTTAGTAAAAATTTTACAGGTTATCATGGAGTTGGTGGAGAATTAGTTGTACAATTTCCACCCTTTTATACATCTTTAACAAATGCATATATAAAAGCAGCAAATTCTTTAGGATATCCGTTTGGTGATTACAACGGAAAATATCAAACTGGTAACGAATTTTAAAATTGTTTTTATCCATAATAATATAACAGCATAATGGAAAATTTTCTATAGTGGAAAATTTAAATTTATTTATTTTTTATTCAGTTTTTACGCTACCGCAAGGTACCATAAATAAAGGATTAAGATGGACAGCAATTCGAGCATTTATCAATCCAATTATTGGTAGGAGGAATTTTCGCTTGATTACTTCAGCTCTAGTGACAAAAGTATGCTTTGAAAGGAAATTAACTTAAAATAATTCAAGATTAATACGAAATAATAACGTTGAAGTATTTCAGGTATTAATTGACGATAATAATAGAGCTTACGGTGTTTTATTCGATCACGAAGGAAAACAAATTAAAGCATTAGCCAGGAAAGAAGTGATTGTGAGTGCAGGAACATTCAATTCTCCCAAACTTCTTATGCTGTCAGGAATTGGACCAAAAGAAGTTTTAAATAAGTTAAACGTTAGTATGAGATGCTAAATTTTATGTTATTTCTTGGCTTCTTAAATGTAAAAGTTTTATTTTTAATATTAACAAATCTATAGCTTAAAATTAAAATTGTAAATTTGGCAACTTAATAGGAATAGACAATAAAATTAAATATTGAAATTTTATCAAATTTTAGATACCTGCGAAGGTAGATTTGCCTGTAGGCCACAATCTTCATGATCATCCTTCAAATTTTGGTTTACGATTTCTGGCTGATGCTTATACCCTTAATGAACATCGCATTACTAAGGAAGATTACAACGAGATTCTAATTAATGGAACAGGTATTTATTTTTTACACTATTGCTTCTTTATTGTAAAAGATACCACCGGTGGCTGAAGGGATAAAACTGCTGAACTCTGGTAGTTGGTCGCGAATTCAAGCTAGTCTCGTGGTGTATTCCGGATTTACTTTATTTATACAGACGTATCCGGTGATAGGTGTTATGACATCTAATGCAAGATTTAACTGCTTAACATCAAAATAGATGCCGGTATCCTGTAGAAAGTCTTCTTTGGAGGCACCTCCACTTGGCTATCGCCCATGCATTGTTTTTTATTCCATCAGTATAATCCAACCCTTCATTGTAAAATTATAAAGTTTTTTTTTGTTTTGTATTGGTAATTACTGCAGTTACATTATTATTAACTCACAATAATCACTATAATTTGAAATCGTTACAATGGAATTAAGTGGCATTAATTAACTTCAAGTTCTGTAGCAATGAAGATCGTAGATTTTCATCTGAATGGAATCTTACCTGTCTGACTTTCAATTATTTCGGGATTTTAAACGTCGGAACATCGGTTTTCCAGGATTTGATCACCATAATATATTGTAAAATCCAGCAGAGAGTTTCGTAACCTACCCAGCAAAATAATTAAAATTGTCTGTAGCGTCATCTTTTAAGAAATTTTATTTAAAATTTTTTATATTAATTATTATAAAATGGCATGAGCTTGATTACGAGGGCAGAGATGAGTTTTATAAAAATTAGTAAACACTAATAACTCATAAAATCGTCATTAAGTCTGACCATACTCGAGATATGACACATCCCTCTGTCTCCTCCTTGACATTTAACCACCGAAATTTAATAGCATCAATGCACTCAACACGCAATCCTTCTCGCAAAATTTCAGAAATTATCGTCAAAAGGCACAAAACTTATTAAACTTCAAAGTAGGTAAACAAAATTATGTCCCTCCACACTCACATAGAATGACATCCATGCATACGTAAAAATACCCCAACATTTTTGCATTTCTTGACGTTCAAGATGTCCTGAATCCAAAAATATAGAAATCTAAAGGTACCGTTTTTTGACCGCTCGCTATATTTTCCCTCTGTTATATAAGTATTGTATAATAGCCAGAAAAGTAATACAGCCGATTACCAGACTTTTGTAGTGTTGTATACTTCATTTGCAGGAAGAAAATTTCAAATTATTACTCATTATACTTCTAAAAATGACATTAAAGTATCAACAAAAGTATAATATTTAAATATGGAATTTCATATTGCATATCAATGTAAATTTTATAATGTACATGATTATATTTATGTAAATTATAACTTTAATGTATATATCACATCATGACTAAACAACTGAGTATATAACGTCATAAGAATATAGAAAACATCCCAAAAATTGTCATAAATAGGAAAATGCAAATGTGATTTGACTACAGTTGCTGTATTAAAGGTATGATTATTTTTAAAAATTAAAAATTTAACAAATTATTTTTCTTAGGTCCTCTCACTAGTCTTGGAGCAACTGAACTTATCGGTTACGTATCTTCAAAATATAATGAGCAACCTGATTGGCCAGACTTGGAAATACTTTGGGCTACTTCAGGAAGGTCGGATTATCTGTTAAATGCCAATGAGGAGGTTTGGTTTTATATTTTATTTCTTAATTTTAATGAAAACCTGTGATACTTATGTATTTATTTCTTTTGTTTGAAATTTTCAGTTGCAGAAACTAATTGATCAATTCAAAAATCAGGATCTTCTTAATTGTAATCCTGTAATGACTCGCACCAAAAGTCGAGGAATATTGACATTAAAATCAAATAATCCCTATGACGATCCAATAATCGATATGAATATGTTTTCTCATCCTGACGATTTACGTGTTTTAGTAGAAGGTTAGTTCTTAAAATCATCAGTAGTAACAGACTTACCTTTACATCCTTTACATTATAGTATATTCAAAAAATATTTGATAGCAAATAATGGTAATTAAACAAATTAGGTAGTTGGAATATTTATCAACTGTTTATTTAAATTGTCATTCAATAGCAATAGCCTAAAAATTTTCTTGTCAAGAATCTCATGAATATAACATACGAAAGATTTAAAATTATTCAAAGTTATAAGAATAATCTTGAACTATTTAACACCAAATTTATAAATATTTGTTTATCTGATATTGTATTCTGTACGTGCCTTCCAATGACCGAATGGGTAAAAATTTACTGTACATTAATTAATAGTCGATTGAAGGTTCCTGCCTCACCAGCGTGCTGGCCATGTGAAGTTTCTCTCCTATGTGTTTAACACATAAATAAAGGCAAGTTTACCTATATAAAGTCCCTCTCCAGAGGCACTTTCATTTGTCAAACCCCTCAAGTTTTGAATTGCATTATTCACTAATCCAATCCAAAGCAATATCAATGATTGCAACCGTACCTGAACCTCTTCTGTTGGTGGAACGCAATTTTCTACATCAACCACGCTCAAATTTAGGTTTTCCTGTTTAATTACAACAATGATCATCAACTGCATTGATTAGTAGAAATACTCTTCGTTACAGGTATGAAGTTTTGTTTAAAAATGGCTTTTTCGGAACCATTGAAAAAATTTGGTGTAAGGCCTCTACCGTATGCTATACCAGGATGCGAACATTATGAACAATTCAGCGATGAATATTTGACTTGTATGGCTTGGGTTTATCCTTCCACCCTTTATCATTACGCTGGAACTTGCAAAATGGGTCATCCTAATGATCCTACAACAGTAGTAGATCCAACTCTTAAGTGAGTATTCTTAAAATTATATTTTAATCTATTAACTGCTTTTTGTGGTATGTACAGTACCTATTGACATTCATATAATCCTTCTCGCTAGACTCTATAGAATAGATCATTAGAATTAATAATTTAATGCTAAAATGAAAATTAAACATATGTATAAAATTCTTTCTTAATTATAACTAATATCATCTATTTTTCTTTAATTAGAGTCAAAGGAATTCATGGCTTAAGAGTGGCGGATGCATCAATCATTCCAATGTTGATGGTTGCACATAGCATGGCGCCAACCTTGATGATTGGTGAAAAAGTGGCAGATATAATACTTCATGATATTTGATAATAAAAATAATATTTTTTTATATTCATAAATTTAGAAGAAGACATTACTTTAATTTTTAAAATTAAAATACTACATAACAAAAAATAAATGATTAAATTAATAACAATCAAAATACAGGGTATTTTAGAAATGTGTTAAAAATGGAGGGGGTCGTAGACAGGTTAATGACGATTTTACTCGTTACTGACATTTTCAAGATTTTATAAAACTCATCCTTACCCTCAAAATTAAGCGTTTCGCCGTTTTCTAATAGTTAAAAATATAACAAGTTTTTAAATAAAATACGATAACAGATGGCGCTATCAAAATTTTATATGTTACCGGTAAAGTTGAGCAACTCGTTGCTGGTTTATTAACTCTGTTAATAGTAAAATGCTACTAACAATTCGGACGTTAATTTGGACAGTCAAATAAATAGAAGAACCGTTAAAGGAGGGTGGAAAATTTGTTAAACAGAAATTATTCTAAATAAAATAATATCAAATAAACTCTCTTCTTTATATATAACACGTAAATAAAAAATTAATTTAAGTACAGTATTCGCAGAATTTTCCTGCATTTTTATTTCATGTATACAAATTTATGAATGAATAGAATTTTTTCGAAAATACATTTACGTTCAATTAATTCAAAAATATTTAATTACTCATAATTAAACTCGTAAATTAAGAAAGTAAATACGTTATGGAGAGAGAGTTCAAAATTGCTATTTTTTATTCTTACTTTTTCACAATATATAATTAAGCTCATGTTATTTTGATATTTTTTCTAGTTACTATCATTGAATCTAATTGACACAGATTCGAAATACATATCAATAATTTCGATCCGAGGAGGAAAATCTATAGATTTAATTCTAAATGTTTTGAATTTTTCCTATTTCCTTGTTTTATTAATATTCTGTGATTTATTTATGTAATAATTTATTTTGTTTATATGTAAATAAACATTTACACATAAGTTAAATATTTAACTTGTGGTTTTTCTGTTCTATAAATTAGGAAGACAAATTAATAATAGAAATATTGAAAATGCTGTAAATGCTGTGTATCTTAATGTCTGGAATGACATTCTTCTGGAGGGATGCAATATGAAGAAAATCAATATGAAGGAATGAAGGATCAGCCTGCATCACTTCATATTGATTCTCTAGTCGTTTAAATTTATAATAATTCAAAATTTATTTCTTTAAAAACAAAGTTATTATAACACAACTTCGTCCGTTAAAGAAGGGAATGATCATTGATACTAATATACAGATTGATAAAACTCTCCCATTTCTTACAACGGAATACTTTATAAATAAAATATAATTATTATTGGATAAAATTGTGATATACAAAGAAATTATTATTATATTCGTAAATTATATAAAAATAAACTATTTTTCCTGAGTATTTTGTCTTATTTTAAGCATAAATGACAGAGTTTCTTCTACGTCTTGTTTTTGAATGAGATAAACAAGTTTAAATATAGAATTTCTTAACTGATTTGAAATGAGTGTATTAACCTACAATTAATTACATTATTATGATTTAAAATATTTAGACGTTTTCGTCATAAGGAAAAAGCTAGCAACGCGTTGCATAACTTTCCCGGCTTCGCTGGTTGAAGTTATGCAACACGTTGCTGGATTTCTAAATTTTGGGTACCATTTAAAATATATTTTAAAGGACAAAATATTCATCATTTTAAAAGAGATTAAAGAGCTAAGTTGTGACCAAGATCTCATATAAATTTTGGAGTACGAAACTCAATGGTGTGTGGAAATATAAGTAAACGAGCAATTATTTATTGTGGCATCGTCACAATGCCGGGCAGAAATTTTTAATCATATTTTTAATTTATTTAATTTAAAATATATGCTTTCCATCTCAAATTAATAGTGTCTTGCCCCTGTACATCATACTTTTCCTGCCAGCAATAGAGACGTGCAGAGCTTCTAAGCTTTCCATATCTGTTCTAGACTTTCATCTATCTAAGTCCATTATTGAGATTAAAGAATGACAAACAGACGAAGACAGCAAACAGTGGGAATTTATGGGCTTATAATTTTTTTAAATTGCAGCTCAATAACTCACGAATTTTATTTAAATTGTCAGTATTGTCAGATTCAACTAAAGCTACAAATAATATAGATTTTTCATTTAAAAATAACAGTTTGACCTTGATATGACCTTGAAAACATGCTCAAATTAAAAATAAATAAATCTGTCATTATTCTGCTCTCGTAACAAATGCATTTTATTTGAAAAACTTTCCTCTGTAACGCTTCGTTTTGAAGATATTTCACTTTATCAGGTTAAATGCCACACCTATATAACAGAGAGAAAGTACGGCGATTACCAGAGAGAAATCTTGGGCGATACCCAAGATTTTTCATTTTTGGGCTCAGTGACCATGAAACGTCGAGAAATACTAAAAAAATTGGGGTTGTTTTCTGTATGCATGGCAGGGGGCACGAGTTTGTTCACCCACGTTGAAGGTTAATAACTCTTCTGCTTTTTTCGAAAATTTGTGAAATTTTACAATGAAGTTTGCCTATTAACAGCTTTGATGCTATTAAATTTTGGTAATTAAAAGTCGAGGGAGTAAGGAGATAGAAAGGAGTCATACGTCATACATATTTGGAATAGGATCGGACTTAATGAATACTTTGTGTTTTATCCGTTATTCACCTTTACAATTTTTTTTTTTTATAAAAGTCACTTCTACTTTGAAAATTAATCGTTTTTCCATTTTATAACAGTTAATAATAAAAAATAATAAATAAATAAAAACGTTGAATTTTAAGTCTAAACATATACTTGTATATATGTGTGTTACAAGTTACAGTAATAATACAGGCCTATTATAATTATTTAAATTTTTAAATTATATATATTCAAATTATTACAAATAATCTACTTATATACAATGCAGGCAGTTTAAAACTATATCAAGGCTATAATATTTCAATACAATTGAAGTTCTCACAATTTATTAAAACAATTTATTCACACAATCATAATGATAATTTATATTTAAATAATTCAGATCTGGATCTATGCATAAATACATAAATAAATAAAATAAATAATTAATTTTTTTTTGTTTTTTTTTGCCCAGTAGGCACTAAGATGGCCTTTTTTAGCAAGGGGAAAATAGATGGTTAGGAAAACGTTCAATAACTGACCATCTCCCGAGAAATCTTTTAATCTATTTGTTCGCGACAGACACTGGCATATTAATGTTATAATATATAATAAATTAAAAAATAAATGGCCAAACATAATTTAGCACATTAAAGAAAGAACTGACCTGCAATCGGGTCGTCCAATATGACTGGAGGATACGAGATGACAAAAACGATCTACAAACTGTAAATAACATAAACAGAGCCGAATAAACTTGTGATATAACTAGAGTAGAGAGCGGATTTTAGGCAAATGCCTATTTTTTTCCTTGACATATACATGGCTAAGATTTTGTATGAACATTTTTCATGAAAATTTAGACCGAAACAAATGGTATTTTATAATGCCTAAAAATGCTTATTTTGACGTTTCTGCCTATTTTGTCTAAAACACAACATTTAGTCTGTTTTTATATTTTTTTAAGTTTTATTAATTTTTCGTTTCATTTTCCTCAAAGATCTACTTTAATTCTTAAATTAAACTACTTAAGTTTCATTTTTTTCCTGAAAATGCAATCAGATAGATTCATTTTTTTATTATTATTGATTACTTATATTTAAGTCCCAGTGGATGCATATCCCAAGCAGAAAAAATTAGAATGCAATAATAACGGAAATAAATTACACCCCTTGATGCAATTTTATAGTAATAAAATTAAAACTATATGAAATATTATAAAATAAATGCTTTTATTTAATAAATATAGTGTTAGAGATGCTTTATTTGTCATTTTTAGATGACAGATTTTAGGCAAATGCCTATTTTTCCCTTATCATATACATGGCTAAGACTTTGTACTAACATGCATTTATTATTATGAGTAATATAATATTCCATATAAAAATGATTTATTTCTTTTTAATATGTTTTTACAGAGCAAATTCTCAGTTATTATAATATCTGTTTATCATAAACTAAATGGTTTTATCCTCACTCTAGACCTAATACTATTTTTTTAGATTCTTTCTCCTATAAGCAGTAAGAGAGCTTTGTAGTATATCCTCATACCAGGCTTAAAATGGACAAATAACAAAACACATGTCAAATTCAATCTAGATTTAATTCAGGTCCCTGAGTTAAAGGACATGCATTAGCTGCCTCAGTCATTTAGACATTACAAATGTATAGGCAGTGTAATTAATCTACAGTTGGAGATATAAACTCTTACAATGAACATGAACAAACTTTTTAAATCAACTTTAAAAAATATAAAACTATCATATTTAATTGCTTTGTTATTTGTCAAAAATATACAATCTTCTATTCACATTTTATAGATGCTTGAATACACTGCAATTCTAACTGTAAACAAATATGGATTAATGAAATTAATCACTTTAAATATCTTGAAAATTTCCAATAATTTCTAAACTATGACTATATTTATCCATGACTGAGAGCACTAAATAATAAGTATAAAATCAAATATGCAAAATACTATTCATAGAAACTTTGATGCTCTTCAAGTTTATAATATATTGCATCCTAAATAAACTATTTTTACAATTGATGAATTCAATGTATTATTTTGATATCCTTTACACCAATTTATTCTTAAGCATGCTAAATCTCTCTTATTAGTAAGCATTCTTTTATCTGTAGTGAAAAGTAAAACACAGAATAGCTAAAGTAAGGCCTTAAGGAGCATAGAGTGAAGACATAAGAAAAATAATACAGTAGGTAATCGGTTAACAAACATAATCTGTTCCAAGACCATGTTTGCTATCTGAATTGTTNTTTTATTTAATAAATATAGCGTTAGAGATGCTTTATTTGTCATTTTTAGACAACGGATTTTAGGTAAATGTCTATTTTTCCCTTAGCATATACATGGCTAAGATTTTATACTAACTACTACATGAACATTTCTTTGATATCAAAAAACTTCTGGCCACTTTAGCGGACAATGCAGTTTGTGTAACTAAAGCAAAGAAAATTTTGAATGACATTTATGTTCAGAACAAGTTGATGTACATCAAGTGTTATTTCACATTCATTGCAGATACTATTACTGCTCATGAAAGTAGTGGAAAACCTATATATGAACAAATTGATCTCCTCAACAGAGCGAAGCAGAAACTTTGTGATGCGCCAGGCACTGCTGCAAAAAGAAGTGAAGAAAGAGTTGAAAACAGTGCTTCAAAAGAAACTTGGATTAAATTGTTTATTGTGGCTGATATTTTGGCAGGAAAGAAGAGCAAAACTGAAAGTAAATTTGCAGTTCTTCTTCCAAGGTTGAAATATTATCCGTTATATTCAGTAGATGTGGAACACATCTACTGAAGATAACGGATAATATGCTCTTTCTCTGCATATAAATTAATTCTCAGTGACAAACGTTGCAACTTTTCTATTGAAAATTTGGAAAAAGTGCTTGTAATACCATGTATATTAGGAAGCTAACAATGGGAAACAGAGCGAATAAAAAATGTAAAGATAATTGCCTACTTTTGTGTTTGCATCATTCTGAATACGTGCATTTTTCTTTGGAATACATATGTTAAATAAAAAAATTCATCGTCCTGATAAGTACGTTAATTGTTCATTGTCCAAATTTTTACCGCCTATTTTTTGTTTATAAAGCCTAAACGACGCAATTTAAGAGCTTATTTTAAGCGCCTAAAACGCCACTTTTAAGGGCCTTTATGTCCGCTGTCTAGATATAACCTTTATAAAGTCCAAAATCATAGCTATGAACTATATTAAAATCCAGATAATTGTAATTTTGATAGTAAATTTATTTCCATTATATTCCATTTTCACTTCAACTTACATAACACAGATAACGATAATTTATTTACTATTTAAATTCTTTAATTAAAATTAGCTACACGTATTTAAATATAACATTATATAACTGAAATTAAAAGAGAAATATTAACCTATAAGCAAATCATATCTTTGAAAAATATTTAAAAATTTTTTATAGAATACGGAAAAATGTCATGTTTCGTTATTTATTATTCTATTTGTGTAAGAATAAGTGCTATCTTGTATACGATAGGAAACAGAAATATCAATTCTTAAAATGATTTAGTGTCGAATCACACCACTTCAGACTTGTAATACCATGTATATTACAAGATTATGATTTGTATAACATGATTTGTATATTTTCAGTCTGGTTCGTAATTTTACAGTGTCTTGAAGCAACTCAACTTAATCAATATGATTACATTGTTGGTAAGTAAAACTGTAAAAATGTTCTTTATTAAATATTTAAATTTTCATTTCTTTTTCTTTATGAGTAACATTTTAGATGAATTTAATATCTTTAATTTCAAAAAATTAGTTAAAAATTTAATTATTTTCACTTACGTGTTTAATTTTAGTTGGTTCAGGTGCCGCCGGTTCAGTCATGGCTAAGGATCCTTCTAACAAGATTCTCCTACTGGAAGCTGGGGACAGACCTAACTTAGCTAGTGATATTTATGGACTAACTTTGAGTACAGGTAATTCCAAGATTGAATTGGAATTACACTTTACTCCCACTTAAACAAAATAGGCAAGGATTACGAGGAAGGGTAAGATTATTCTGTAATTGGAAGCTTGCTTTTCCTGGTAAACCTTTTTTTTAACACTGTGTAATTAAATTTGTACTGTACGTATAATAGTTTCAATTATTGAAACTTCTTTGAAACATATAAAAGAAAAAGTAAAACTGTGGAATTAAGTAATGTTTTTTTAAAAACTTAATCAAATTTTGTTTATTTCTTTTTACTTTTCCGACTGTTATGAGATTTTATTCAAAAAATAACTTTTATATTATTAGTCACTGGAATTTAGTATATTTTCATATATAATATAAATTTAAATGTTAGAATTTAAAATATTATTGTACAGAATATAGTATATTCAAGACTAATAATTCAATATAATTTCATATCAAAATGTAATAAAAGTTATTAATATATTTTAAATAAAATATTTTTTAATTATGTGCAAGTGTATTTACATTTAAATCTTGCGATATGTGATAGTATCAGGACAACGTGGAGCAGAGTAATGAATCATAGTCATTAATGACCCGAGTTAATTAGAAAAGTTATCAGACTCCACAAATCATTGAACCGACAATCAATAAAAATATTATATATATCCAATCATTTTCCTAGTGACATACAAATGTAAAGAAGTAGAACTTTTGCTGTTAATTTTAAAAAACATTGGATTTTATGTAATTTTTATATAAAAATCTATATACTTAAGTCTGGGTTCTGAGAGACATAGTCCTGCTGTCTCCATCTCTTCTAGATCTATTTAAATGTTTATTTAAAGTAAAAGATACTTTTTGTATTAACTAACATTTACGAAGTTCATAACCCGTTTCTTAAAAGGTGAATGATAGATTGGTTATAACTCTATTAGTTACCTAAGGCAGCAGCATTTTGATCTTATTAGATCAAATACAACTTCGATTATTAACCATTTCAATCTTTAATACATTCAACACGAAATGTATATTCTCAGTCTGGCTCGTAATTTTACAGTGTCTTGAAGCAACTCAACTTAATCAATATGATTACATTGTTGGTAAGTAAAACTGTAAAAATGTTCTTTATTAAATATTTAAATTTTCATTTCTTTATGAGTAGGCCTAACACTTTAGATAAATTTATTATTTTTAATTTTAAAAATTTAGTTAAAAATTTAATTATTTTCACTTACGTGTTTAATCTTAGTTGGTTCGGGTGCCGCCGGTTCAATTATGGCTAATAGATTATCTAAGAATCCTTTTAACAAGGTTCTTCTACTGGAAGCTGGGGACAGACCTAACTTAGCGAATGATATTTATGGCCTAGCTTTGAGTACAGGTAATCCAAGATTGAATTGGAATTATACGTCGCTCCCACTTAAAAGAAATGGGCAAGGATTACGAGGAAGGGTAAAGTTATTCTATATTTTCAAACTTACTTTTAACAAGTTTTCAAATTAATCTGTTTTCAAATTATTTTCCATATTATAGCGCCTTCCAGCAACAGCAGGTAGAATTTTGGGTGGTTCAGCTTCAATAAATGCCGGTCTCTACTTTCGAGGTAACAGACGTTACTACGATAATTGGGCTCGAAATGGTGCTATCGGTTGGGACTGGAAAAGCGTTTATCCTTATTTCTTAAGGATGGAAGATAATCGAGATGTTGGGATTGTTGCAAACGGTAACATTCATCAGGGTTTTATAATGTCTATGTTATAATTTTATTAAATATAATAATTATTTGTAGGTTATCACGGTGTTGGTGGTGATTTAGTTGTTCAATTTTCACCTTTTCACACTGCATTAGTGAAAGCATACAAAGAAGCAGCGAAAAGTATTGGTTATCCGTATGGAGATTATAATGCAGAGCATCAAACTGGTAAAGGAATATCAAATGTTTTATGTTAATAAATAAAAATGTAAGAAAATGAAATAATTTAAACTATTTAATTGGCAGATTTTATGCAGCCACAAGGTGTAATTAATCGTGGAATAAGATGGAGTGCTGTAAAAGGATTTATCGATCCTATAATCGGAAGAAGGAATTTTCGTTTGATCACTTCAGCATTTGTAACTAAAGTATGCAAAAAGTACATTTTAAGTATAGTTATTTAATATTATTGAAGATAAATTGGAATTGTCAGGAAATCAGAGCAAATATTTCAGCGTATTTGTTATATTTAGGAATTTATGATAATTATTAGATTTATTGCCTACTTATGTTTATAATGATAACAATCTTCACATAATAATATAATATTAGGTTGTTGCAAATGAAATTACCGACTTTTACTTGAAGACTTTCCTTGCCAAAAAACTGTCCAAATGTATAAAAAAAAAGTGATATTCTGTTTGCAAAAATCTACGGAATAAGACGGATGGGGAAGAATTTCATTTGAATACTTTTATTTTTGTGATGAATAACTAAAGAACTGCAGACCTCCAAATGATGCTTCTCATCTCTCTCACTGAGTTCGAGTGGTACCCATTTGTCGAGCTTCTTGACTTTCCTAACATGTTTAGATGTCGAGAAACGATTGAATAATGTTCAGTATGTTCAACTTTTCCCAGACAATCAGGTGATCTTCTGATTCGACGATGTTCTTCAATTCTGATTGTATTTTCGGAATGAAATTTTCTGAACTAATTAATGTCTGGTAGTCTGCTCATTCACATAACCTTCACCAAAAGTTTTAATTGGTGTTTAGGGTTGCTTAAGCTGCAATATGTCACTGATTATACTCTTAAAAGAAAATTGAATAATTTTATTTTTTTCCTATGCCATCAGAAAAAGTACTCTTAATTTAAACATATGGAACACACAATACAAATGATATAGCATTTTTAAATTCGATTATTATATGCGTGCTATTTCAATTGCAAATATACACCATTATAGAATAATCGAAACTTTGATTATGTGTTAAAATAGAATTTATGTTGAAATAACTCGATTTTCTGAATGCATATATGTTACATTATTTCTTATTATGATTATATAATCTTCGAAAATAAGACAGAATTCTTGTAAGTTAAAAATTAAAATAATCTGTTCAGTGGAATGCAAAGTTATAATCAGCAAATTATTGCTTAACTGTAGACTAATTTCTTTAAAACAAAAAAGTAAGTTTTTTTATTATCATTTGCCGTATCATCATTGTAGTCTCTAGGCTTGTCTAGGTTTTTGCAAGTTCAGATGATGATTTTATCATAATTTTCTTATCCTGTTTCAATTTTTTCTGTCTTCCCTTGTGTTCTTTTCATATTATCCTACCAAAATACCTAAATTCTATTTTAAGTGTATCGGGTTATTGTAAATGAGAAATTTAAACATTTTGAAAAAATTTATTGATTTATTATTAATTAACTCAACAATTATTATACTTCAGTCTTGTAGGTAATCACCATCAATATCAATCATATTTCTTCATCTTTGTTGCAAACTTTCAATCTCGGGGTGTAGAATCATGGGTTTTTTTTGAAGAAAGTCTCAAGTGTCATTCTCACATGGGTATTGTCATTGAATTGCATAGTGGCAATATAATTCTACGGTACGCAAAATGGAAGGTTGGCGCCAAATCTAGACTGTTAGGTGAATGCGGCAGAACTTCTCAACCTTGAATGACCAGCTTGTCTTAGGTCATTTTTGCTCTATATGCCGGCGTGTTATCGTGGTGGTATCGGAATTTCTCGATTTTTGGAGTGTATGGGGAATAGTCAAATTGTGCTAATTCTCTGATCAACCGTGGATTATCGTCTATCAGTTGCAGGAGAACATCATTAATAATGAAATCCTGCCCGGATAGGATTTATCCTGAAGTTAGAAATCTCATCCTTGAATTTCTTGTATCAATTGTAACAGGTCTGCTGTTGACTGTTCTCACCAAATGCCTTGCAGATGAGATCGTGAGCCTTCGTTGTGTTGTGCCACTTTTGAAGTTGATACAGCAACAGCACGCAAATGTCTTCCTTCAAACCTTTCATACCGTTGGAAATTGCTGATGCATCTACTTCCAATGAAATATGTAATAAAACGCCCATTGAATACTCTACGTATACATCTACATAGAACGTTTTATAATTTATCTTTTTAGTCGTTTCTAGAGAAGTCTGATAAGAACTTAGTTTTCTCTTTAATAATCTTTTTCGGCATTCGTTTGCATAATAATACTTCAATTACTTTACCTTTTATATTAAAAATATTGAAATTTAAGTTAATATTTAATATTTTATATTATAAGATAATTAAAAGTGTCGGTTTATAATTATTTCAGATATTAATTGACGAAGATAATAGAGCTTATGGTGTTTCATTCGATCACGACGACAAAAATCTCACCGCATTTGCAAGAAAGGAAGTGATAATATGTGCAGGAACTTTGAATTCTCCTAAATTACTTATGCTTTCGGGAATTGGACCGAAAAATATTCTACACAATTTACACGTCAGTACCGTTATTTTAATATTTCAATGTTAAAATGTTATCATATTATAGAGTTATATACAAAAAATTTTTTATGATTTAGAAGTTAGATGAATTACTTTAATATGGGAGAGATTACTAAAATTATTAATAGTTCACTTATTTTTGAATATATAATACTCTAGAATAAACTAATAAGTATTATTCCTTAGATACCAGTGAAAGCTGATCTTCCTGTAGGGAATAATCTACATGATCATGCTTCGACTACAACAATGCAATTTCTTGTTAACTCTGATACGTTTTCGGAACATCGAACTACTAAAGAAGATTACCAGGAAATTCTAATTAATGGAACCGGTAATTTATTTTAAATAAATTTTTCATAAATTTTCTTTAAATTATTACTTCTATAATATAAATATTTTGATTCGTAAATTTGAAATTGTTTTGATGAATAAATTTTAGAATATTTTTTTCTTCCACGTGGTATTACTGCTGTTATCTTAAAAGATGGAGAGAGATGTCTTAAACTACCTAGCAAAAATATTTGTGAACCCAGATTTCACAGTCAGCCCTTCTACTTGGATAAGGTGGGATAAGATAATAACTTAATCCACGTAAAAAATATGTGTTACAGAATCTGCAACAATAAAATACCAGCAAGTAAAATGGATACGAACTTTCTCATAAAAAAAACGAGACATGAGTTTTATTCTGGAATGTTGAGATAATGTGGCAAACTCTCGAAGGTAATGGAGAAGTCTGAATGATATAAACTTCAAACCTTTATCCTCAGCAAAATTCATTGGAATAATTTTTAAAAGACATAAATTAGTCAAAAGATGCACATTATTTTATTAAGGTGTTAGAAAGATGATTGCACGAGGAAATTTTTTGGCGTTGCTTATGACTCACATATTGTGGAATAATCTTTTTGAATGATAATCTATTCCGGAACACGTCATTCAGCGAGTTAAAATCGCTCAGGAGACTTGTCTTCATTGTCACCGATTGAGTTTTTCCAAGGAAAAAAAAAAACACTTTTACGATGAACTGTAAGAAGAGTATAGTGGTGGAAAGAGAACACAAGGTAACTACTGGAAAATCTTAACGTTAGAATAAATAACTTTAATACTAGCTCGTAACAAGAGATGAGTAGATAAGGAATAGCACATGAAAAAATAATATAGTAAGATTAAAGCAAAACCTTTTGGTTTTGTTATTTGTAGCACGTTGCTTCCACACCTGAATTCTGTAAAATGTCGAAACTTTTTCCTGTATCAAACAGAAAATCAAATTGATCTATTTGCTATTAATGAAAAATAGTAGCATCTTTATTTGATATTCGGAACAAAAGTGAATAGTATTTCGGAAGAGACCACGTAATGAAACGGAATAGTCACATCCAACAGCTAATATGCAAGAAGAAATGGGCATTGGCACGAAAAAGGGTGATACAAAATCAACATCACAAAATCATGTGAAAGTAAACTCGATTAGAAGAATGGATTTTCAAGATACGTGGAGCACAATCCAACAAAATAAAGAAGTAAGTAAAAACTAAATGGAGACAGTAAGAGATATAAAAGCATTAAGAGATCTCTCTATTTTAAACAAAGAAGAGGGAATTCAAACAAACAAAACTAAATAAATACACGCAAACCAAATAAAACTGATAGCTCTATAGGAAGTAAAACATTATTCCATAACTTTAAGAACAAGCACGAAAAATTCCTAACAAAAAATATCTCGTGAAAAGTAAGAATGGGAAACTTTTGTTCATGTACCGGTACGTACTACACATTCGGAGATAAGAGGAAAATTTCATGAATGTCCCGAACTATGCTAATGATTCTGAAAATTTGAAAATTTAGATTATCATAACTCACACATAAACACTGAAATCAGCACCGATCCACTAGCCGAAGATATATATTACGAGCCATTAAACACAAACAATGGCAAAGACTCAAGCTAGATTATCATAACTCACACATAAACACTGAAATCAGCACCGATCCACTAGCCGAAGATATATATTACGAGCCATTAAACACAAACAATGGCAAAGACTCAAGCTAGATTATCATAACTCACACATAAACACTGAAATCAGCACCGATCCACTAGCCGAAGATATATATTACGAGCCATTAAACACAAACAATGGCAAAGACTCAAGCTAGATTATCATAACTCACACATAAACACTGAAATCAGCACCGATCCACTAGCCGAAGATATATATTACGAGCCATTAAACACAAACAATGGCAAAGACTCAAGCTTGAATTTTTGTTATGCCATTAGTGTGAAAACAGATCTTTGCATTACAGCAGACATTTCGACCCCAATGCTACAAAATACTGTATTTGAAAATAAAAAAAAATTGCTTGTGGAGTGAAAGAAAGGTTTGTTTAATAAAACTTTTGGAGATGTACTAAATTTGGCAGTTGAGGAAATCGTCTGGCTTTTATATCAACTAAGATCTTGTCCCAATTATATTTGGGAAATTAAAGATTCGTGTAGACAAGCCGAGTTTCGAGTAGACCACTTTGTATGTCATGTATGTATGACATATTAACACACTTAAATAGGAATTATCGCAGAACAGTCATACGAATATCAACCATCACCTGAGTTTTGTCGACATTGAAAAGGTAATTGATGTGCACCAAAGGTGTGTACAATTTTAAGAACAAGAAGGCAATAAAGACAGCAAATGTGGTTACGGCAGTGATGAATAGAAGTACGAAGTTCCTCAACGACAAATGATGACTTAATTTAGGAACATCTGGAAAAATCGCCGAAACTATACTACATTAAAAGGTTCTCCTCCGTAGAAAAAGAGAATGTAAACCAAAAACTTCAACCAGTGGTGCTAAGATTTAAAATGGAGAGAAAATACCAAAATTAAACTTATTTTTTGTGTTTATGAAAAGTGACTCCCTTTCCAAACAATAGCCTGACCTCTCTCTTTCTTCCTACAGTCACATGGGTGGTCACTAGTGTTGCAACGAATAGTATATTCGGCCTCAGGCCGAATACCGAATATTCGGCCAAACTATTCGGCTTGATTAACGCACATACGCGCAAACCGCATTATGGCAAGGACCCTGCTCTCTAATTGCCCACTGTCACTACGCTTCGCCAATCGCGTTAATTCTTGACAGTTGAAGCGGACAGACAAGAGCGTCATGGCAGTATGTGATAAGTGATGATATCAGATGTGGATAACAATGAAATGACCTACCCGTGTAAATAACGGAAAAAGAACAGAGAAGGATTGCGAAGTGAAAATGTGAAAATAAATATGAAATTGAGTCGATAACATAATCGAACAAGTCGAGGCAGCTTATTGCCACGAAATTCGCGGCCGTCAATGCCAAATAATTGTTGTCATAGACTTCGGAAAGCTAAATGCTTGTAATGAAAGTCACTTAGCGTACACGGACGAAAGCCTGGGGCCGTTCGGGCTATCAAGCTGTCTCGAATCTGTGAAATCATAACTGTGACTTATATCGACGTCCTATCTGCCTCTTTTCTCCGTTATCACCAGGCTATGAGTCACGTAATTGTAAAATGGGAAATCTACGACAGAAAAGTGACGAATCAAAAGTATCGTGAGCGCGTATTATGATGTATGCATAGGAATATGTGAACTAGAGCAATAGAGGAAACAGAAAGGGAAGAGCAAAGACGAGCACTTAAAAAAGAAGGATAGGCAGGGTCAGATTCTCAGATGTGCGACGTACACAAGTACATGACACGACACGTGCACACCTATTCGTTGGAGAATAAGTGTGTACGTGTCGTGTGCTGATCTTTATAATTATAAATTGTGAATACATGTGACTAATATTATTTTCTTTTTTATTTTGTGCATGTTATAAGTTATAAATAAATATAAACAAACAGCACTAACCCGATAACATTAAATCTAAATACCAAAATGATTAATTTAATGTTTTTGTTATTTCTTACTCCTGTTTTTAGGAATTCGGTATTCGGCCGAATAGTGATTAAATATTCGGTATTCGGCCGAATAGTGATTAAATATTCGGTATTCGGCCGAATAGCGAAAAATAGGCCGAATAGGCCGAATACCGAATAGTAACCGAATATTCGTTACATCACTACTGGTCACCTATCTTCACTAAAGTACAGTAAACGCAATTTTTATTTTATATTATAGTACTGTATTTATCCTTTATGTATTGCTTTTACGTTTCAATTTATTATTTAGTGCATTTAATTGTATTAATCTTACCTTAAAAATGTGTATTTGCTATTTATCGAAATGAGTGTTGTTTAGGGTCTTGGAACGGATTAATACATTTTCCATTATTTCTAATGAAGAATTAATTTTAATTAATTTGGACTTCGAAAAATTCAGTTTGAATAGCCTCTTGTAACAAATTAAATTCGAAGTACAAGGCAACACTAATATTTCAAATCTTCAATTGCATTAATTAACATCGTAAAAAATTTAACATAAAAATTTTATTTCGAGTATAATTTACATGAAAATATTTCACATTATTTAATATAATTACTTGTGATTTAAAGGCCCACTGACAACATTAGCAGGAGTGGAATCAAACGGATATATCAATACAAAATACAACGAGAACAAAGATTGGCCGGATGTATCTCTACTTTGGCTATCTTCAAGAATACCAAATGCATTTTCAAATGCTAACGATGGAGTATTGTTGTTTCTATTGTTTCATTTTCCAAAATTAAAATATTATATCATAAAATTACACGTTTCATTATAATTGTTGCTTTAGATAGAAAAACTATATGAAAAATTTCAAAATCAGGATGTGATTACGTGTATGCCAAATCTTATGAAGCCTAAAAGTCGAGGGGCGCTGACATTGAATTCCAATGATCCATATGAGAAACCTCTAATCGATTTCAATATCTTATCTCATCCTTATGACTTGAAAGCCCTTGTAGAAGGTAAGTAGTCCCTATTATCAGTACAATAAATTTCTAATTAAAGTCTACTGAATGATAAATTACATTATCGTATAGCTTTAAAACACTGTTTAAAAATGGCGTCTTCGAAATCTATGAGGAAGTTTGGTGTCAGACCTCTTCCATTTATTATGCCTGGTTGCGAATTTTATGAGCCATTCAGCGATGAATATCTGGCTTGTATGATTTCTGTTTTGCCTCTTTCGGCATATCATTTTTCTGGAACGTGCAAAATGGGTCATCCTAACGATCCAACTGCTGTAGTCGATCCAACTCTCAAGTAAGTATTCATTAAACAGGTCCGTAAGAACTCTAAACACTCATTTAAAAAAACAAAAAAAAAAAAAATGGAAGAATTATCGGAAGAAATGCGGTTTGCATGGTAAATATTGTCAGCATGAGGGTCTTGTTGACAAGAAAAAAAATTCATTCCAAAAGTCACCGAAAGGTGTCGTTCACATGTAATAAACCACGAATAGACGTGTAAACAACAATGAAAAGTACTTTCAATGTGATTTCTTATTGTGGGTATGTAAATTCCCGAGTATTTCGATCAGGTTTTTCCGCATTGTTGGAACTGAAAGATGCGATATACTGTGAAATAACATCCATCCATCCGGACTAGATACTCTAATCCGGACATTCTGCACTCTGCAGGTGCAGGACTAAATTATATTATAACCTATGGTTGAGGACATGTCGAACACTTGCCTAATGTTCGACATGGGATATACCACTTGCGCATTGAAAATAATTTTCATTGTCGTTTGCATTTCTTTTGTATGTCAATGCCACCTATCGATGATTTTGCAGCTAGTTTTTTTCCTGTCAACAAAAACCCTCCGTTCTGATAATCAAGGGCCGACCTAGGGCCCTTGATTATCAGCACGGAGGGTTTTTGTTGAGGGCCCCATCTTTCGTTGTATTTAGAATTATTACAATAAAATAACACTATAAATTATTATTATTATATTATTAATATTAACTATTTTTACTATATGATAAGTATTCATTGTTAATGAAAAAGTATTAAAAATTTATGATAATAGGTCAATTTTTGTCGGCCCTTGACACTTGGGGGCCCAGGGCTTAAGCCCTATTAGTCCCTATGTAGAACCGCCCCAGATGACAATATTTACCACGCAAAACGCATTTCACTCCGATAATTCTTTTGCTTTTTATGAACGTTTACAGTTTTTACAGACTTTTTAAATCATTTATAAATAATTTGGCGTAGAATTTGTTTCTTATTCATTTTTATATTATACATTCAGAGTTAAAGGAATCAACGGTTTAAGAGTAGCTGACGGATCTATCATTCCAACATTGATAACTGCTAACACTATGGCGCCCATTATGATGATCGCTGAGAAAGCAGCAGATATGATACTTCACAACTTATGAATATCGTTATAAAATTTTTCTAGAATTTATGTTTTATACTACAGTGAAAGACATCAATTTAAATCTATATCTATAAATCGGAATGTTTGTTTGTTTGTTCGCTACGCATTCCTGGGCCCTTCGACCAATTGCTAAGAAACTTGCTGTTAAGTTTTAATAGTACTTTTAAAACTCCTTCCGGGAGGCACCCCTCGGTAGATCGCCCAAGTGTCGAGTTGATGTAACCAAATAAACCACACTAATTGTAATAATTTATCTATAAACTTAGTATTTACCAGGACACTATTTAGGGACTTAGTATTTACCAGGACACATAGTTTATGGGCATTTCGATAATACTGTATTCTTAAAATGGGTTTTACCACATACATTTTAGGGTCGGATGGCCGAGCGGTTAAGGTAGCAGCCTACCGTTTTGGGGGACCCGGGATCGAAAAATTCCCAGGAAATTTTCGGGGGTGGTTCGTTCAGATATGTCTAGGCCCCGTCCCTCACCACCCGGCTGCCCATTGTGGGCCTGGCCGAACCCATAATGGGTCTGCTGAAAAGAGTCCCTCTTAGTGCCCACAGCGCGGAAAGAGTTTTAAAAAAGCCACATACATTTTTGAAATTTACGATTAAAGTAATGCCGGATATAACAATCAGCCTCAGATGTGTGAGTAAATGTGCGTGTTAGGTGAGTATGTGGGAAGAACGTTCTCTCATAATAAAAAATATAAAAACGTTGAATAAACTTAATTTAAAGGAATTTGCATATAAATGTCATTACATGAAGATTATTGAAAATATATATAATAACTAAGAACATTGACATAAGTGTGAATGATAATTTAAATGAATTTATTACATTAGCATTAAATTATTAACCTAAAAGTTGGCCAAACAAAGCTTTATTTTTGTTTGAAGTCGTGCCTTATTTAGTCACTCTCGTTTAAATCTCGCAGAATTGAAATATCACAACACTAATGATTTCTTGAGTTGCTGTGTTTGCTTCGCTGATTATGAATAGTATTTCATAATTAAAATGGAGATCCATTCTAATTTATCGAGCTGTTACTAATTTCAAATATCCGAAAAATTAAATGCAATTCTACAATATGTATGTAATTAAAACTTTTCGCATTTATATGCATTTATTGTTAAGACTATATCTCGAGTTCGAACTAAAAGTGTATACAAGAATTACGAGAACATTTTTTAAATGGATTGCTTAAAACTTAATTTTTATTTATTTTAGTTTTATTGTCATGTGAAAGAAGGAGTTAACAAATAATGGACTCCGAGTGGGCCTTCTTTCGAATTCCTTTATATGCAAGTTCATATAAGAATTTATTTCAACGTAAAATACTCAGTCAAATACCATTATTTAAACAGAGAAAACTTGCAATTACAAAATTCAGATCAGCTCCTTCTTTAGAATCATATAAGAGTTTGATCGAGTGTCATCAACACTTAGCATCATCGACGAACTTGTGACAAATTTCAGGTATTTCAAAAGAAATTGTCTAACCTTATGCAATTAATGTTATTCAATAAAACTTCAAACAAATATGGATAGAATCAACAACTTTACAGAAAATCGTTTTTGTTTTTGTTGTGTTTTTTTTTTTAATTGTTTGGTTTAATTTTATTCGTTTACAGCAACGCCACACATATACGATCTGTCAATAGGGAATTCTTCCCGGGTGGTCTTTTATAGGAAATGGCTCCCATTTAGGTGTTACTAAAGTGATGAAAACTCGGAAAACTCCACGTGGTCATCCGTTGGCCAAACGCGAACTCACGACAAACTATCAGTTTCGGTAGTTTTATATACTCGGAAACTAGGGGCTTCTTTTGATTCGTACAAAACAAATTTCGACTATCCATTTGTTGTTCGGAAACTCGGCTTGTAAGATGATTTTATTAAAGATAGATGTTTTTCATATACTGTATATGTGGCATATAGCCAAATTCAACATCAAGACTTAAGCACCAAAATTCTTCTTTTAGTCTATGCTCACTATCAAACACAAAGTAAGCTACAACTGAAAACTACAATATGAAAATCTGTGTTAAACCAATTGTTTGTAATTATCACTGAATTTCTAGTTCAGAACACCTTTAACCTCTTTCCTTCTTCATTATTTCTTTAATATTTCTTCTACCTGTGTACTCTATTAGAATACTCTTCAACATATCCACTATTATAATTACTTTCTTATATTGTTATGGCTTCATCCAAGTTTTCTTTAACCATTTCTTCCATTTCCTGTTTACTTTCTTTCCCCTGTATAGAGCTGAAAAATTCAGTTCTGTCTCTTTGTATTGGTTACCTCTTCCTTAATATTTTAAGCTCTTCTTTCACAGAAAATGTATGGATTATTTTGCACTGTGAAGACTCTTACATATATTTGAGTATAAGCAATCTAAATATATTAATAACTTAAATATATAAGACTCTATTGAATTATTATCAATGAAATAATTATTATGAATGAAATCAAATCATTATCCTTTCGCCACTGGTGAGCACTATGGTATGATATGAAATGATTACAGTTATTTTAGTTAAAATCATTTAATATCTTACATTATAATTAATATAATACGGTATGTATTATTATATATAGTATGTAAAAATCGAAATTTATTCGGTTATTAAAATTTAAGAAGTTTATTTATATGCAAATCATTTTTTTCTTGCATTACTCATTTAATAAATTTAAACGTAATATACTACGTAATAGATAATGTATTTTATATTTAAAACATCGAGTAATTCACAAAATATTAATTAAAATGTCGTAATATATGATAAAGAATAAGAAAAAATTTAAGGAAAAGTTCGATTTTCCTTGCTTAGATCCAAATGAACTTTTGCCTTTCGAATGCGTGTCAATTAGATTCAGTGATAAAATCTAAAAATGAAATGGTAAAACAATTCAGCTCTTTACAATATATTTTAAACGCAAATATAATTGTATTTTCGTCATATGTCAATATAGTAAAACTTGTGTAAAGCGGAATCGCGCGGTAACTAATATTTTCCGTTTCGGTTGGTTTCCGTTTTAACAGATTTAGTTTTTCTTATCTCTAAACTTTACCAGATAAATTTCACACAGTTACGTTCATTTTATAGTAAAATCACCTGTATTATTTAGAAATACTTTATTTTATATTTTGTTGTACATTATACAGTATTTACTGTACAAACAAATAAATGATAATATTTGTACTGACATTGTGGCCTGAATCCATGGCAAAAGTTCGGGCTGCAGTGCACTGATGCCCAAAATTCTTTTTCTTAAACTGTTTGTCTCTTTCCACGATATGGTCATTTCTGAGTACAGTCCATCTTCCACACTTACGTAACCCCCTGCAAATGCTTTGTGCCACTTAAACGTTCGTCTACCAGCTGAGGGCACGTGTTGTGTTTTCGTCGATTCTCGTACGAAATTTCTTTGCACGAAACTCTTTTAAATGCCGTCGTTGCATTTAGGTGACGGATCGCTTGTACGCACGATAGGGTAAATTGCTCTAGAACGAAATACTTGTTACGACTTGGGCTCGCGATCGAATACGAATGCCTTTTTCGCATGGTTGCGCTATTTGCGGCGTGTCTTTAGTTTTCTGTCGTACAAATACAAATTACACGTGACGTAAGAGAGTTTCTTCGTTCCAAGTCGGTCCGTGTCTTTTGTCCTCTCTATTGCAACTGGAATTGATGGCTTGCATGGGGAATTGCTTAAGTCAATGGGTTTTGAGGGAAGAAGGATTATNGAGGCAGAGAAGGCTTTCTGTGTCCCTCATCTTTAAGGCCGCTCGGGTAAAGACAGAAGACGCCGAGGAAAGGCGGATTTTACGCCTTTCCTTCATCCGAGAAGACCTTAATCATGCGGGACACTCGGAGGACTGTCCATCTCTCGTCGGCCTCTTTACTCGGACGAGCCTTATCTAAACGTGACACAGAGAATTCTCTTCGCCCCATCAGCATCTCCTGTTTTCACCCAAGCAAGCCGTAATGATTCAGGACACATAGAGCCTTCTCCGCCTTTCGTCGGCGTCTCCTGTCTTTACAATGGTTTACCTACAATAGAAAAAACGAACAATACATTGTAACAATTCGTTACGTATTGTTAGAATATATTTTTATCAACGTGTGANGCCCGCTCGGATGAAGGAAAGGCGTAAAATCCGCCTTTTCCTGGCGTCTTCTGTCTTTACCCGAGCGGCCTTAAACATGAGGGACACAGAAAGCCTTCTCTGCCTCGGCGTCTTCTGTCTTAACCCGAGCGGGCCCTAAATATACGTGCGGCACACAAAAAGCCTTCTCCGCCTTTCCTCGGCGTCTTCAGTCTTCACCCGAGCGGGCCTTAAAGATGAGGGATACAAAGAGCCTTTCCGCCTTTCCTCGGCGTCTTCTGTTTTCACCTGAGCGGGCCTTAAACATGCGGGATACTCGATGCACTCTCCATCTCTCGTCGGCCTCTTTACTCCCGCGGGCCTATAAAGATACGGGCTTTCTGTATCTCGCATCTTTAAGGCCCTCTCGCGTGAAAACAGAAGACGCCGAGGAAAGGTGGAGTAGGCTCTTTGTGTCCTAAGGCCCGCTCGGATGAAGACTGAAGACGCCGAGGAAAGGCGGAGAAGGCTTTCTGTGTGCCGCACGCATATTTAGGGCCCGCTCGGGTAAAGACAGAAAACGCCGAGGCAGAGAAGGCTTTCTGTGTCCCTCATCTTTAAGGCCCGCTCGGGTAAAGACAGAAGACGCCGAGGAAAGGCGGATTTTACGCCTTTCCTTCACCCGAGAGGACCTTAATGATGCGGGACACACGGAAGACTGTCCATCTCTCGTCGGCCTCTTTACTGGAGCGAGCCTTAACTAAACGTGACACAGAGAATTCTCTTCGCCCCATCAGCATCTCCTGTTTTCACCCAAGCAAGCCGTAATGATTCAGGACACATAGAGCCTTCTCCGCCTTTCGTCGGCGTCTCCTGTCTTTACAATGGTTTACCTA